AAGCAGGCGAGTGAAATCTTCCCATCCGTCTCGACAGTTCGGATTGCGAGGTGCACAGGCTTGTAGTTGTGTGAGCCTCTTATTTTAGTTCTGTAACAAAAAAAGGAAAAAAAAAAAGCCCCGGAGCCGCGCTGCTGTTCGCGTAGTGGACGTACACAGCTTTTGTACACACGGCATCGCTGGGACCCGAAGGAGGACAGAAGAGAGAGTACCTCAAAGTGAGAGATAGCGAGCGGGGCAAGAGAGAGAGATTGTGCCGTTCCGTGCGTGCGTGTGCGTGACTTACTTCGGCCTCGTTCGGACAGAGTCAAAGGAAATCAGTGAGGGTCCAGGATGAATCCTGCAGCGCAAGAGTTCGTCCCGCGGAAAAAGCGGACGGCGGACCCTTCGGCCGTTCATCCGGCCAACCGAGGGCCCCTGCCGCCACCACCGCCGCCGCCACCGCCGCCACAACAACAGCAACAACCACCGCTGCAGCAGCAGCAAACGAAGCTACGTGCGTCGGCTCCTGCGTTTGTTCCCAAGGCTTCGACCGTTTCAGCGGCCCCACCACCGCCACCCCCGCTGCTAACCCAGCCCACCGCGGTGGCAGCATCGTCAGTGCCTGCACCGCCGCAGGCAGCACTACACGTGGACCCTGGTGCGTTTGGGGGTAGTGATTCGCAGCCGTCGCCTGGCTCGAAAACTCTCTCGCTGAATGCAGTGCCATACACACCAACGAATCCAAAAATTGCGGCAAAGTTTCCCTCGACGCCTCAGGTTCAGCGGAACGCCTCGACCCCAGATGCGCAGAGTGCGGCGCAACAACAACAACAACCACCCCCACCGCAGCAGCAGCAGCAAGAGCATTCAGAAGAGTCACACAAATCCCAACCACTTGGTCTTGCCAATCGAGCCGATTCGGTACCTCTCGAAGGATCTGTTGGCTCCGCCTCCGCTGCAGATGACAGCGGCAACAGTGTGCTGCAGTCGATCGGTGCGCTAGGTGCTGTGGTGGAGAATGACTTTAGCGGTTCAACCCTTCCCAGCGTGTTTGGGGTGAGCGTCCTTGCCAAGCCCCCGCCTTCCGAACCGATACGATTCAACACGGTGTGGGCACTCCACGCCGATGATCACCCGACCACGTTTGGGGCTCCACTAGCTTATGACCCCGTGCTGGTCCACCTGGTCGGGGACGTCGAGTGCTTTTGGCGGCTCTGGCGCTACCTGCCTCCCCCGTCTGCGTTGGCGCCAGCCTTCACATATCACTGGTTCCGCCGCGACATCAAGCCAAACTGGGAGCACGCACGCAACAAAAACGGTGGTACTATCACCATTGTTATATTTGACCGTGACAAGCCTGGACTAAACAGCAAGCAGACGATGGATGATGCGTTCATGACGATGCTTATGGCATGCTGTGGGGAGACTCTCGCAGAGAGCACAACAAACCTTAACGGCATCATGCTTAAGGTGCGGCAGAACAAGCCAACGACGGTGCAGATATGGACGGCGAACTCCGACCAGCGGAAGCTCAAGGCGCTAGCCGGGAGCCTGCGCAACCTGCTAGAAAAGGTCATCGGTCCGAAGCCGCTACAGAAGATGGAGTACTTCTCCCATCAACAGACGCAGGTCGGTGGACCTGGTAGCTTGGCGGGGAGGATGAAGGGGAAACCGACAAGAATAACCCCCGACTTCACACTATAAGAAGGGGGCGACCAGTAAAGGAAGCGAGGAGAGTGGGCCAGGGAGAGGGTGGGACGGGAACGACAATGTGGAGACCAAAGCGCAGTGAGATGAGGGAGGGGGTGAGATAGCAAGGGAAGCAGCGGCTGGAGGAAGAGAGGAATGGTGCAAATATTGATGGGGCACAGACACCGCGAGACGTGTGCCCTCCTCCGATGGCCCCATTGCTCTTGATCCCTCTCCTCCCTTCCCTCGCTTTTCTCTTCCTTTTTGTCTGTACTACCCTTCTGTCTGCGGTCAATGGTGTGAGGGGGCGGGGACGGCGGCGGTGGTGGTGGTAGTGGTGGTGGGGAGCTGTGCGAGTGCGAAACAGAACACACTTCACGTCTTGGTGCCCGTCGTGCTGACAGACGCGATTGAACGTTGCACACCTTCAGAAACAGCCCGACGAAAAGGAAACAACAACAACAACAAGAGAAAAAAAAAAGAATCAGAAAGACAAAAAGAAAATAAGACACAAAAACAAGAAATATGAACAGAGGATTGACTATGCCAATCCCTCACCAGGCGGGCGCATATGCTTCTGTATGCATTTTCACTTTTTAAGTGAGGGTTGTTTGGCCTGTCGTGCTGTTCCTGTTGTTCTTTCTCTCTTCTTTCCCTCCGCCTTCTTCACTGTGGGATGTCGACTCCTCTTCCCTCATTTTTTTTTTGTCTCATGGCGTCGCCCCCCTCCCCCCTCCTCCCGTTTCATCTTATCGGTGGGCCGCCATGCACGCCTGCACGTGTCGCTCGTTCGCTCCTTTAAAAAAAAAAAATCCTTTGCCTTTAGTCGCCACACCCGTTCTGTTTGCGTTTGACGCAGGTGATTGCTATTTTCCAGCTTTGGTGACTGCCGTTGTTGTTAAGCGCCGCTGACAGACGGGGTGGGGATGCGTGGGTGAAGGAGGAGGGCGGGGGATTGGACGGTGATGGGGAGAGCGAGAGACAGAGAGAGAGAGAGACAGAGAGACATGGAGAGAGAGAGAGAGTGGTGGTGGTGGTGGTGGGAGGGTCGCCGCGGGCCGCACACCCATGTACGTGGGCGCACGCTCCAGACGTACTGTGGCGCACGTTTGTTTCCTTTTGTTTCTTTAAAAAAAGAAAAAAAAAATGCAGAGAAAACTGTATAACGGGGGCGTTAAGGGCATCTTTCCTAAATGTGCATTTTTGAGTATCTGTGTATGTGTGCTTCTGCGTGTACGCATTGCTGTGGCCCGCCTTCACATCCCGTCACACGCACACGCACCCCTCTCATCCTGCCGGTGGCAGCGGGAAGCGCACTTCAATTGGATGGACCTGGAACATAAATCAGAGAAGAAAAAAACAAATATATAACGAGCGAAGAAGAAAACAAGTGCACGGAAAACGTCAGTGTGTCGTTAATGAACATGACAGGTGGGAGGTGTTTTATTAATGATGATGATGATTATTACTGTAGGGAATGAAGAAGGGAGGATGACATCCTTGCGTGACTG